TTGCCGCACTGTGCGGCTTAGCCCTTCGAAAAAGTCAGCAGACAAAATGCTGCGTCATGAAGCAGCCGCTCAGCGACTGGAAGTGACGGCACACACCATCCCGGAATTGGCACCACAGCTTAGACACGCATAGAAGTCAAGTGAGATGCCGCAGTACTAGCACACTAATGGGGGACGTGATTAATAGTCTGCTTGTGCTGCTAAATCATCTACATGCAACCTCTCCACCCAAACCTCTTCTACTCCACCTATTATTAAATACAGTAAACCCAGGACCCTGCATTCACTATATCTGATCTCCCACAGAACACAAAACATGGAAATGCATTTATTTTAGTAAATATAAACTGCTAAATTCCTTTTCTCATCAGCAGTATATAGCAGTCTTGTGACTTCTATCAGTGTCCAGCTGAGCACTGGTTAAAGTGTTCTTTCTGTTCTAGGAAGATGCATAACCCCTGACCCTCTGTCTGAACAGTGCTGATTGGCCCTGCGCTGATCACATGCACTCTACCAAGAAGAAAAAAAAAAACCTCTCCAGCAATAAACACCAAACCGAGCATGTGCAGAGTGACTCCGTACAATATGTCTTATCAGGAAGTAAGAGGGGGACACTGGAAGAAAGGGAGGATCAGAGAAGTCAGGATCAAACAGCAATGCAGGGGATTAACCCCTTAGGTTCCACAGTGAGTATAACAAGCATGCTTTACTGCATATACAGCTACCCCCTCATCCCCCCCCCCCCCCCCTGGACATCACCCGCAGGGACTTCGTCACTGCTCAAACTCCCTCCGACCCCATTCCCCCTCACTCGGCTACCCCCTCATCACCCCTCTCCCACGGCCCCACCACTGCTCTGACCTCCACTCCCACCCCACCCTACATTCCTCATACTGAAGCTCCCCCAACACTCCACACCTTTGACCTTACTACCATTGAGGAAGTCTCCAAGATCCTCTCTGATGCCCGCCTCACCACCTGCCCCCTCGACCCTATCCCCTCACAATTCCTACGACCTCCCTCCCCCTCCATCCTACGCTCCCTCACCCACATCTTTAATCTCTCCCTCTCCTCCGGCACTTTCCCCTCCCCACTGAAGCATGCACACATCACCCCCATACTTAAAAAGCCCTCCCTGGACCCCAATGACCCGAACAACCTCAGACCCATCTCCCTGCTCCCACTTACATCTAAACTCCTCGAGCGTCTCGTCTACACCCGCCTATGCTCTCACCTCAACGACAACAACCTCCTCGATCCCCTACAGTCTGGCTTCCGCCCCCTACACTCCACCGAAACCGCCTTACTCAAACTCTCCAACGACCTTCTAACCGCCAAAGCTAATGGCCACTATTCAGTGCTCCTACTCCTTGACCTCTCTGCGGCCTTCGACACAGTTGACCACCCCCTCCTCCTCAAAATACTACACTCCCTCGGCCTCAGAGATTCTGCTCTCTCCTGGCTCTCATCCTACCTGTCACAACGCTCTTTCAGCGTTACCTATAATGCTACCACCTCCCCCTCACTCCCCCTCTCTGTTGGGGTCCCTCAAGGCTCTGTCCTTGGGCCCCTTCTCTTCTCCATCTACACCTCCTCCCTTGGCCAACTCATACACTCTCACGGCTTCAACTACCACCTCTATGCCGACGACACACAAATCTATCTCTCAACCCCCCACCTCACCCCTTCGGTCTCTGCCCAAATCACACACCTACTGAGCGACATATCAGATTGGATGTCGCTCCACTTCCTTAAACTGAATCTCTCCAAAACCGAGCTCCTTGTCTTCCCCCCAGCCCGAACCCCACCCCCCATTGACTTCTACATCACATCCAACAACGTCAATATCAAACCCGCTCTGCAGGCCAGAGTACTTGGTGTCATTCTGGACTCCAACCTATCCTTCCAGCCCCAAGTCCAATCTTTAACAAACTCGTGCAGACTCCACCTCCGCAACATCGCCAAAATCCGCACGTTCCTAACCCCAGAAACCACTAAACAGCTCATCCACTCCCTCATCATATCACGACTCGACTACTGCAACTCCCTCCTCACTGGCCTGCCTCGCCGCTGGCTATCCCCGCTTCAGTTGATCCTGAATACGGCTGCCAGACTCATTCACCTTTCCAACCGCTCCATTTCCGCCACCCCCCTCTGCCAATCCCTCCACTGGCTTCCGATTGCGCAACGGATCAAATTTAAAATCCTAACACTGACGTACAAAGCTGTCCACCATACTGCCCCGAACTACATCACTGACCTAATATCCAAGTACCGCCCAGCACGCACACTCCGCTCCTCACAAGACCTCCTTCTCTCTAGTTCCCTGGTCTCCTCCTCCCATGCCCGCCTCCAGGACTTCTCCAGGGTGTCACCCATCCTCTGGAACTCCCTGCCCCAACCCATCAGATTATCACCTACTCTCCTCTCCTTTAGGCGCACCCTGAAAACCCATCTCTTCAGGGAAGCCTACCTCACCCCTTGCTAACTTGCTGACCTCCTCCACTCTTCCTACCACTCCATCCCCCACAGCTATCTCCTCCTGTACCACTATCCCACCCCTTCTAGATTGTAAGCTCGAAAGAGCAGGGCCCTCGATCCCCTCATGTTTTGCATTGTATTGGTATTGTTCTGTCACATGTTCTGTCCCCCTTTGTAATGTACAGCGCTGAGTGAACTATTGGCGCTTTATAAATACTGTACTGTACTGTATATACAGACTGATTTTACTGTTGTGGGTTTAGTAAAACTTTAACTAACGGCCCATTAACACTATGTTGGTGTATTAGCACACACATATTAATAAGATCGATAACCAGTCTTCACTAAATAGGAATAGGAGCTGCAAAAGGTCATGTGAAGGTGGACTTTGGTAAGTAAAAAGGATGTGAGGGCTCATTCACACTACTGCACTACGGTAACCTTTGTTAACAAACATGTGCTACCTCACCACAATAATGTGAATGGGCCCTGGCACCCTTTTTACTTACCAAACTCAACCTTCACATAACCCACCACAGTTCCTCTCCTGTTAGTAAATACTAGTGATCCACTGCAGCAGTCTGGCCTGGGCATAAACCGTTTTTTTTGTCAACCCTAACTGCAACGTCATCACGCTGCCAGAGTCTTCAGGACCCTGTGAGAACCCCTCCAATGGTCAGCCAAATGGATATATTCATGACACCAGGGTGTGACAAGAAGGACCCTTCTAATCTGCAGTTCAGAAGAAATAAGCATTGGGCCGCAGCACGTCATGTGACCTCAGATTTAAGTAAGTAAAAGGCCTTTTAGGTTATAGGCTTGTACCAGAGTTTAGAGGCAGCAAAACGCTCTTCTCCTGAATGCAGAATAATCACATTCAGAAAAACGCCAAGCGTTGGAAAAAAGTGCCTAAACGCGTCTAGACACACCTAAAAGCTGGGCCCATGTAGCACTTCAGCTTTTATCTATTTCATTGGACAGAATAAATACAAATTATGACCAATGAAATAAATAAACGCCCAAACTGCTGTCAGGAGAAACAGCATTTAAAATAAACCGGTGTACATGAGGCCTAAGGATTTACAGGTAACTGAAAATGATGGCCCTAGAACTATTGCTCTCAGTCCAGCAAGCATGGCAGTACCCTATATGGGAATTGGAAGGCTATACAATACCTCTGCTGGGCTATTGTATCCTGCAACTGCCAGAAAACCAGAAAAGTGTTTATATTTGACTGAAAGCAGCCACTGTTCAGCCAACAATTTTTCACCTGGCCCCTTCCACTGAAAAATAGGGTAGGGGGCAGGAAGGAACCATCAAGTTCACCCATTTAGTGAATTTTGCCCAGTTCAGCAGGAAAAGGCCCACATTTTCAGTGTATGGCAGCCAAAAACTACCCATACATACTCAGGGTTCTCTCATTAAGCCCACTGAAATCGATTTATTCCCCCATCAGTGTGGATGGCCAAATTTCCTTTACCGGCTATTCAGGCTATGGAGTCACTGTTTGGCTGACAATTCTGCACCTGGAGTCTGTTAAGCCGGCCAAGCCATCCACTGGTAGAATTTCAGCTGAATCCTTTGTATGAACAGCTTAAAGCAGTATTAAACCCAAAAGCAAACACATTATATTGCAGCTTACCAAGTCTTAGATGTGATGGCTGCATTAGTTTTCTTTTTTAGGCTTTCTTTCCTTTATTTTCACCTGGTGATTTGGCCAGTAAGTCTGTTGTTTTTCAAAAGAACAAGCTCTCCTGCATATCAGTTACAGGGATGAGACAAACCATTTACCACTAACAGGGGTACTTACAATGATCAGATGTTATTTATTCATGTAAAACCTTTATCCCAAAAGGAAATGAAACCGTTGATTGTGAATGCTTATAAAGTGTTAGCTGGGGTTTGGTGTCAATTTGTTAGTGTATCTAAATCTGCAAGTACATCTAACCCCCCCCTCCCCAGGCTGACAATGCTGCTACCCAAAGGTGCCCCCTGTGCTCCTTTATCCAGGGTGGGGGGTGCCCCACCCAGGTGTGTTACTGGCCAGATCACCAGGTAAAAACAGAAAGCAGCAAAAAAAAGAAAACAAATGCAACCACCACATCTAATTATTGGTAAGCTGCAATATATTACATTTTTGCTTTTGGGTTTAATACCGCTTTCAATTATTTAAACAAGCTCTTGGTTATTATTGTTTGCGGCCATGAGCAGGGGGGCGGACTGACCATTTGGAAACTCGGGCACTGCCCGAGGGCCCGTGGTCAGTAGGGGGCCCCATGAGATGCCCCTCGTACCTTTTTCATAGGCTTTTTTGAGTTTGGGCAAGGACACAGGGGCCCCATGATCCCCTATTGCCCGGGGTCCCCATCAGTTGTCAGTCCGCCCCTGGCCATGAGTTTGTTTGCATGCTTAAAGCGGAGTTCCAGTTGAATTTCAAAAAAAAAAAAAAAAAGGCAGCAGCTACAAAAACTGTAGCTGCTGACTTTTAAAATACAGTCACTTACCTGTCCCTCGGTCCTGCAGTGTCCTCACCACGGCTGGTTTTTACCGGCCGTCTTCTCTTGCCGCCACCGTCATCTTCAGTGTGGGCACCCGGCTGTGACAGTTTGCGGCTTCACAGCTGGGTGCCCACTGCGCATGCGCGAGTAGCGCTGCACTTTGTGAATGGTCCCGTAGTCTTCTGGGACCTGTCACGTGTCCCAGAAGACTACGGGGAGGGAGGGGGGAGGATGACTTCCGCTTCAGATTGCCTTAGGTCAGTGGTTCTCAACCTTCCTAATGACGTGACCCTATAACAGTTCCTCATGTTGTGGTGACCCCCAACCATAAAATTATTTACCCAGTAATTATAATTCATGAAGTGTCGTTTTACCTCCAATACTGCTGCTTTCAACACAGTAGCTGCTTTCAACACAGTAGCTGCTTTTACCGAGTAGCAGCTTTCAACACAGCAGCTGCTTTCTACACAGTAGCTGCTCTTTACACATCGGAAATATGTGTTTTCTGATGGTCTTTGGCGACCCCTGTGAAAGGGTCGTTCGACCCTCAAAGGGGTCGCGACCCACAGGTTGAGAACCACTGCCTTAGGTGATCAGTGGGAGTGGGTACCTATCAAATTCGGGTACCCGCTTCCCAAAGGTGCCAATCTTTAATGTGGAGTGAGGGACAATGCATTAAAGCAGAACTTTCCCTTTTAAGTGGAGCTCTGCTTTAAATAGTTAAGACGGTGGCAATGAAAGGGTTATTGTATATACAAGTTTATGAAAAAATAATAATGTACTGCTAATGGACTAATGGGGTGGACTGATGCTCTACAGCTAGGCTTGGATGAAAAACAGAAGCCAATCCCCTGTAGACCTTTCAAGACCTAATTTTCCATTCTGACTATTGTGTGCCTTTAATGCCGCTTCCTTTTAGAATCGATACATCCCCCGTATTAATCTAGGACGAGCAGATGACATTTCATGTGTTACAGATATCTCTTAAGTGGATTGGAACCTGTCTGCATCATTTACTGCACAAGGTGGTTTCTAGGCAATATGGATCCCTAGTGTGCTACAAGTGGCTCATAGTTTTAGGAACGGCATATGTATTAATCATAACTTAATCACAATATCTTATAGATCAGGCCGAGACAAGTTGGTGCTAATATGAATTGTTTCGAGATGGCAGGGGAAAACGTAGTCTTTAGCATCAGAAAAGGCTCCAAGGGTCTTCTGGGATGCGTAAAAAAAAAAAAAACTAGACCCCAATTATGGCTTTTATAGAGGAAACAAGGCCTGTTAAATGTTCCTGGAAAGAGCTAGGTAGGGCTATTGTGCCAGAGGTTATGTCATAAAGCGATTACACCAAATCTTCCTGTCCTGCTCACACATCTGTTTTCTTAGTAATTACATTTAACTAACCAGGACTCAGAAAGGGCTAAATATTCCTTTTGGCTGTCGACAGAACACAATAAAGCATCCCTGTTTTATGTTTCAGTTGTAAAGAAAAGAGATGATTATTAAAGTAGATGTAAACCTTAAAGGGTAACTCAACTTTACTGGAAGAAAGCAAAAAAAAAAATAGTATACAAATGCTACACAAGTCATATTGTACTGAAATGTTATTAAGAATTACTTTTTCAGTCTGCAGTGCTGTAATTTTCTGTAAAATGCTATGCAATATGGCAGCCTGGAGGCGTCTGTGAACAGATGGTGTAAACCCCCCCCCCCCCCCCCCCCCCTACCTTCTCGAAAAAACAATTTTCTGCTTGTGTGAATGGCTTACTGATTTCCCCAGAAGTCTTAACTAAGATACAAGTCAGAGTTTGGGCACCCCCTGCAACATAAATGTCATTTTTGATTAGAAATTCCCAAAGGGAAATCATGTCTAAAGGGATGCAGACCCTACCACTTCCCTCCTTAGAAACCTGCATGTGCAGCAGCTGTTTGATAATTAGAAAATCACTCCCATACAGATTCACTGTGCACATGGACACAGACAGTTATTTCTTCAGAAAAACAGACGGTAAGAATCTGCAACAAAGTTTGGATTCTTGCAATGTACATAGATCACCCAGAGGGGAATGTTTTTTTTCTCAACAAAAGTGCAGTTACTCTTTAGGGTCTTTTTTAGACTAGAGCAGAGGTCTCCAAAATTTCTAAACAAAGGGCCAGTTTACTGTCCTTCAGACTTTAATCACTTGCCCTCCAGAGGATTGTGTTACAGTGCTGCGTTATTTTAACTGACATTGTGCGGTCATGCAACGCTGCATCTATATGAAATTTATGTCCTTTGTTTCCCAAAAATAGAGCTTCCCTTCATTAGTATTTGATTGCCTGTGCGAAAAAAAAAAAATTTTTACTTTTTGGTATTAAACATGTTCAATAAAAAATTTTTAAAAATCACATTTCGTCATAAATTTAGGGCAAAATGTATTCCTCTACATGTCTTTGCTAAAGAAAATCCTAATACATGTAAATTAATTTGTTTGCGTGAAAGTTATAGTGTTTACAAATGGCGGTATATATACTGAAATTTTTTTTTTACTAGTAACGGCGGTGATCAGCGACTAGTGGGACTGCAGGACTGCGGAGGGCATTCTGATATTGGGAGAGGGGGAATTGACTTGGTGTCACTGACATCCCTAGTGACACCAATACAGTGATCAATGCTAATAAAAAGCACTGACATTGTACTAATGGCACTGGGCAGGAAGGGGTTAACACGTGGGGCGATCAAACGGTTAACTGTGTACTGTTTTACTATGAGGCAGTGTGTGTGCTTTCCACTGTAAGCACACTGATTTGTATGGCTTTGCTATGCAGAGCCATACAAAGCAGTGTGCAGGAGCTGACAGGGGAGAGAACTGTATTGTTTACATACAGTTCTCTCCCCCATCGGTAATACTTGGTGATCACCGGGTGCTGGCGAGTAATCACAGGCCGGGACTCGGTGATTGACAGCCGAGGACACGAACGGCGGCGAAGGTAGGGCATGCGCGCAGCACACGTGCCCCCTACCCAGAAATGCAAAATCAAGTATATATACATGCTTTTGCGCACCCCTGCCGCCCTGTAGCAGTATTTCTGCTATAGGGCAGTGGAAAAGCGATATTAAGGAGGCCAGACTAGGCCAGAAAATGTTCTGGCCTCCAGTGGTAGTAAACAATGCCACATCTTTGGTATCAGTGGCAAGACTAGTGCCCCATCGTTGCTGTTAATGGGAGGTATAGTGCCCCATTGTTGGTGTCCGTCGAAGGAATTATGCTCTATTGTTGGTGTCAATGGAAGGAATTGTGCCCTTTTGATGGTGGCAGTGGGACGAATAGTGCCCCAAGGGCTGGATAAAGGCAAGCAAGGGGCTGCATCCGGTACCTGGGCCACAGATTGGAAAGGGGGTGGTAAAACAGGTGGTTGAGCCAGGTTTTAACGCCGAACATTTTCAGAGGTGCAGCAATGATAGCAAACAGTCTATTTGCCTTTAGTAAATCTTCCCCATAGTCTTCTGACCCTATGGGAGTTGATTTACTAAAAGCAAATAGACTGTTCACTTTGCAAGGGAATTTCCCCCCCAGAGCTTAGTGAATGAGGTAAAGCTCTGCTGACTTCCACCATCCAATCGTGTGCAAGCAGGAAAACTGTTTTTTTTTTGTAATTTTTTTATTTTCCTTGCACATGATTGGGTATTCTTTGCAAACTTAAATTGCAACACATTCACTAATCTCTGAGGAAAATTCCCCAGCAACTCCCTGCAAAGTGAACAGTCTACTTGCCTTTAGTAAACCAACCCCTTTTTATCTATAATCCTGCGTGCTTCTACGACCCCTTTTACATAAGACAGTTTAAAAAAATTATGTAAATGAGTTATTGTGGCATTTTAAAATATATTTAGTTCTGTCAAGCTACAGAAACGACTATATATTTATCCATAAAAATTCTTCTGCATAACACAATTTGGGATTTATCTTCATTGGCTCTTTAATGGCAATAACATACACAGCGGGTTTAAATCATACATACCGCTTCCTCAAAGAAACTGACAAAAGGCGATCCTGTACATCTCTGCAGAAGAAGCTGGCTGTGTAATTGCTTTGCACAGGGATTCTAAATTTGAAGACAAAAATAATCAAAGTGAATGTTATAATAACACTGGAAACTAAAAAGAAAAGTGTATACCTTTGTGACAAAGACAATAAAATTGCTAAATTATTACAAGGAGGCAGAAAAATACAGCAGGAAACAATTTAATGAAACATACATTACAGGTCCATTAAAGCGAAACTGCACTGCCTCTGAGCAACACAAACCAAAAACGCTATTTAATTCATTTTTCATATTCTGAAGCAAACTCTCCCACCCATCCATGTCTCCATGCTTTATTTTGTTGAGAAAGCACTTTGAAAAACGGACCCCCCCCCCCCCCCCCAATGCATTTCTGGCTGTGGCCATCTTCTTGCATAAGGGTAGATGATTACTGTAGCATCTACTTCCTTGAATCCATCTGCCCTTAGCTCAGGCATGCAGGCAGGCGGGTGTGTGCTAAGCTGAGAAAACCCCTCCTGAGATGAATGATATCATTTGCCTAGCCATAGAAACCAGGAAGCAACCGAAAAAAATGTAAAATTAAAAATTAAAACAAGTAAATATGATATGCTTTCCTGTTTATTTACTAATGCTAGCAGCAAAGGGGTTAAAAATAGTCAATGAGAGGGTGAAGTTCCACTTTAAGTAGTGGATGTGTATGGATTATTTTTGGAGAACAAGGATAATGTTTAGTTTCACTTTAAACTGATCATGTTAGGATGTGCATGCGTACAGAATATAGTCCACGGGGCCATTTGTAAAAGAAGCCCAGCCTGCACAATAGGAACATGTATACATAGGGCAGAACAGTGGCTTTATGGTTAAGATTGCAAAATCCTCTCTTGTATTAAAAGAAGTATAGACTTCAGAGAGAGAGATATCATTTCCCCCGGTACAAATCATTAGTAACACCTCATCTGGAATATGCAGTTCGGTTTTGGGCACCAATTCTCAAAAAGAACATTGGGGAACTGGAGAAAGTACAGAGAAGGGCAACCAAACTGATAAGAGGCATGGAGGAACTCAGCTATGAGGAAAGATTAGAGGAACTGAATTTATTATCTCTTGAGAAGAGGAGATTAAGGGGGGATATGATCACCATGTATAATACATAAGGGGGGGGTATGATCTCCATGTATAATACATAAGGGGGGATATGATCTCCATGTATAATACATAAGGGGGGATATGATCACCATGTATAATATATAAAGGGGGATATGATCACCATGTATAATACATAAGGGGGGATATGATCTCCATGTATAATACATAAGGGGGGATATGATCTCCATATATAATACATAAGGGGGGATATTATCAACATGTATAAGTACATCAGTGGTTCATATAGTGAACTCGATGTAGAGCTATTCACCCTGAGATCATCACAGAGGACAAGGGGGCACTCTTTACATCTGGAGGAAAAGAGATTTAATCTCCAAACACGGAAAGGTTTCTTCACAGTGAGAGCTGTGGAAATGTGGAATAGACTCCCTCAAGAGTTGGTTCTGGCCAGCTCAGTGGATTGCTTTAAAAAAGGCCTGTATTCTTTCTTAGATACACAGAATATAACCGGAT